GCAATCACCAGTACACAGCTAAATCCAGCCGCGACCTGCCTTCGTGTAACCTGGCAACTAAGAATGACATTTACATTTTTCAATGGTTGAAAGAAGATCAGAGAAGGATAACATTTCATGATGTCAAAATGATGTGGAATTTTAATTTCAGCACCCATAAATAAAACTGTACAAGCATCTAGCCACGCCCACTCATTTACATTCTGTCTGGGGCTATTTCCTCTCTTTCAGGGCAGTTAAGCTGTTGCAACAGAGGGGCCCGCAGAGCCTAAGTATTTACTGTCTGGACATTTACAGAACAAGTTTGCTGATACCGGCTAGAGAGCATCTCTTCCCTTCCCCATGGAAGACTTTGCCCTTGCACAGGTCTGGCTCTGTCTTCGCCAACACTGTGGTTCTGGATACATCGACTCACTTCTCTGAACCTCATCTACACTATACTACAATCATTGCTAGCTTCCAGAGCTATTGTGAAAATAAAATTAGAAGGCCCCCTGGTGCATGCTGGGAAATGTACTACCACAATTGCTATTCACTTAAATAGTACATAGATCAGCACTTAAAATTTAACAGATACGTGTTTATTTTAATACATATTTGAAAAACTATAACTGTCACACAAAACCCATGGTTTCAGGGGCAATGCTTGTTGTATTAATTGGGGAGAATGAGTCATTGCTATCAGGGCAGATCTTCCATCTATCTCTCAAGATGTGACTTCCAATTTGGGGACCCAAGTGTCATCTCCCACCGTCATTTTACATCCCACCCAGCAGGAAGAGGAAGGGCAGAAGCTGGAAGTTGTACACATAATTCCCAGTCACATCTCATTGGTCAAACTTAGTCACTTGACCACATCTAATCACAAGGGAAGCTGGGAAATTTAGCCTTTTCTCAGCATAGCCGTGTGTTCCTATGGGGACATGGGGAAAAAGAAACAAATGAAGCATCAGTGTTGGGCATATGCGGGCAACCTTTGTCCTTATGTGTATCTATTTAAAGCTTCCTTTTAAAATATACTTACGTAGGGACCAGCGGATGGCATAATGGTTATGTTGCTGGACTCCCACATAGTCAACCATAGTTTGAGTCCTATACCTGGCGGCTTAAAATGCACACTGAGTATGTGTACGTGCATGCCCAAAATCCTGAAAGGAGAATGGAGGAGAAGGGATTGCAGCATGGCCATCTGCCCTGAGGGATTACTTGTTTTCTGTCTATCTCTCCGGCGAGTGTACGAGCCCTATAGCAAAAATCTCTCAAAAAATAAATAAAATATATTTATGTAAATTAAAATAGCCCATTTAAAAATGGACATGCTATTGTCACTGCTTTGCAGCCATGAGAAAGACCAAGAGAATCATAGAGTGGCCAACAAAAGTCCTGACACTTAAAGGCCTTGAATTGATCCTAGAACTGGATCTCTGATTTCTTGCTCTTTGAGAAGAAATAAACTTTTCTTTAAACCACTTGTAGATGAGCATTTTTTAACTCACAGCCAAAAGAAATCTCACTTGATCTAGCTGGTTTTGTGACTAAGCAAGTAGGCCCTGGAACCAGACTACCTGGGTTCAAAGTCAGGCTCAGCCATTTGCCTGCCGTGTGATTTAGGAAAGTCACGTCCCCTCTCTGGGCCTTTATATGATCACCTAAAAACACAGAAGCTGCTTTTATTTCATTGTGTTTAGAACATACTCTTAGAAAGTTGGGGATACTACCTCCCTTAGTTCGTGGCGTGTTATCTCTATTTATTGCACTGGTCCCTCTTTGGTTTTATCTACTTATTTACTTTTTAAATCCCTTCTATTCCCATTTCTCACTTTCATCTTCCCACAAAAAGCTTCCAAGGGGGAGCTTTTTGTTTCTTTATGTTCTTGCAAACTGTCATTCATGTGGGTATATATTTAGTTTACATCTTAGGACTATGTTCTATATTCTGTTCTGGGTCTTCTCCCCAATCCTATCTTTTTGAGATCCATTTATATAACTATGTAGTTCTCTCATTCTTTTCCTTGAAATGGGCATAGGGCCCAACGGTGTGCTCCCCCATATTTAGCTACGCCTGTATTGCGATGGAGGCCCCAGGGCCACCAACTCCCCATACCACAGAGAGTGCCATAGTGTATGTCACTGCGTGTGAGAATTCCTCTGGTGTCTGCATCCGGGAGAAAGCTGGGTTACAGGGCAAGGCTCATTTCACGTGACTGGATGCTTGCAGAATGCCCTTCAGAAAGACTCAGCGGGTCATCACTTTTTCTAGCATGAGAGTTCCCACAGCCCCGCTGCTGCCAACACTGGGCATGATCCAACTTCCTCATGTTTGCCAGTCTCATTAAGTCTCATTGTTTCAAGTTGTCTTTCTCTAGGTATCACTGGCATTCAGCATCTTTTCAAATGATTTAAATCCGGGTTTAATCATAATACCTACTTCATAAGCCATTTTGAAAGTTAAAGGAGATGGGGCCAGCAGGTGGCATAGCGGTTACGTTGCTGAATTCTCACATGACCAACTGCGGTTCAAGTCCCAGACCTGGTGGCTTAAAACAAGCTGGGCACATGTGCATGCATACCCCAAATCCCAAGAGGTAAAGAGAATGTGGCATGGCCATGCCCCCTGGGGGAGGGTGATTTCTCATTTTCTGTCTCTCTGTCTCTGGTGAGCACACGTACCCTGTAGTATGTTCATTCTATTCACTGAGGTTTATGCCTAAAGTCAGACTTGTGTTCATGGATATGTATATATCAGTTGTGCTTGCTATTGAAAATATTTAGATTTATTAAGATATTTAGTGAAACAATAAAATGGGGGAGGCATAGAAAGCAACAATAGATACCAGACACAGTGTGGGAGGAGGGTGGAAGATGGCAGAGGGTGAGATAGGGAATCAAGGATGGGGAAAAAAGGCAAAATATACAGGAAACAAGAAATGGAAAATTATTTGTTGACAATAACACATATGTTGATGTGCTTGATTGAGCCAATATACAGTGTATTCTGAATGGAAAAATCTCATTTTGTATGCTATAATGATGTACAGTGAATGGATGCAAATAAATAAAAAATAAAATAAAATAAAATAAATCTCAAAAAAAAGAAGAAAAAGTTAAAGGGGATAACACATGTGAAGTGTTTAATTCATTGTTCAGTACACAGTAAGTGTAGATTTTTAAAAACCAAGTTCCCATGGTTTGACTTACTAAGCCTCGGTTATCATTATTATTAAAACACCCGGCACATAGTAGGTGCGCCGTAAGCATGCATTCCCTCGCCTTCCCCAGCATCCTCCGGACGTCCCCCCTCACGCTCCTCCATGCTGGTCCCTTTCACAGCCTCACCTGTGGCTTCTTCACTCTCCCGGCTGAAGTCCTTCCGTGCCTCCTTCTGGCCAAAGAGACTCTTCAGGATGGCGTTGGCGATGGGCAGCATCATGGCAGTGGAGGCAGTGTTGCTCAGCCACATGGACAGGAACGAGGTGGTCACCATCATCCCCAGGATGAGCCTGGGCGACAGACGAAGTCAGTGGCAGACCCAGAACCCAGGACCAGAGGACAGCTGCCCAAGCGCCCAGCTTACAGGGGAACCCTCTACCAGCTGAGGATAAGTATGTACGTGAGCGTGAGGGAATGATGAGTTTCTGGGCCTGGATGACTGAGCTAGGAAGCGTGGGTTTGGGCTCCACGAGGTGTGGTCCCTCTGCTCCCCCACTGCAGGGCCAGATCTGTTACCTGGCCTTACCTGGCTGGCTGGACCCCCACAAGCATCAGGATTTTGAGGGCGATTCTGCGGTGCAGGTTCCACTCCTCGATGGCGCTGGCCATGATCAGCCCGCTGAGAAAGAGGAAGTTGGTGTCGAGGAAGTACTGGGGGCAGACCTTGCTGGAAGGCAGGATGCCCAGGAAGGGGAAGAGGATGATGGGCAGCAGGGCTGTCACTGAGAGGGGCAGGGCCTCTGTGCACCAGTACACCGCCATGAGCAGGATGACAAACAGGCAGCGGCCTTCCTGTGGGGGAGATGTAGACTCAGAGGACACAGGCAGGGAGGAAGCCCTGGGAAGGGCCTGGCAATGCGCAATGCATGCTCCTTGGAGAGGCAGTGGCATACATGTGTGCTTGGGGCTGTGACCTTGCGCAGGTGGTGTCACCTTTCTGAGTCCCACTTTGCTCACCTATAAAATGAGAAAGCTAGGGACCAGCAGATGGCATAGAGTTACATCACTGGACTCCCACGTAGTTGACCGCGGTTCAAGTCCCAGACCCAGAGGCTTAAAAAACTCATGCCAGGCATGCGTGCATGCATGCCCATGATTCCAAGAGGAGAATGGAGAAGGGATTCCTGCATGGCCATCCACCCACCACCGGAGGTGGAGTGGCTAAAGTCAGACTTGTGTTCATGGATATGTATATATCAGTTGTGCTTGCTATTGAAAATATTTAGATTTATTAAGATATTTAGTGAAACAATAAAATGGGGGAGGCATAGAAAGCAACAATAGATACCAGACACAGTGTGGGAGGAGGGTGGAAGATGGCAGAGGGTGAGATAGGGAATCAAGGATGGGGAAAAAAGGCAAAATATACAGGAAACAAGAAATGGAAAATTATTTGTTGACAATAACACATATGTTGATGTGCTTGATTGAGCCAATATACAGTGTATTCTGAATGGAAAAATCTCATTTTGTATGCTATAATGATGTACAGTGAATGGATGCAAATAAATAAAAAATAAAATAAAATAAAATAAATCTCAAAAAAAAGAAGAAAAAGTTAAAGGGGATAACACATGTGAAGTGTTTAATTCATTGTTCAGTACACAGTAAGTGTAGATTTTTAAAAACCAAGTTCCCATGGTTTGACTTACTAAGCCTCGGTTATCATTATTATTAAAACACCCGGCACATAGTAGGTGCGCCGTAAGCATGCATTCCCTCGCCTTCCCCAGCATCCTCCGGACGTCCCCCCTCACGCTCCTCCATGCTGGTCCCTTTCACAGCCTCACCTGTGGCTTCTTCACTCTCCCGGCTGAAGTCCTTCCGTGCCTCCTTCTGGCCAAAGAGACTCTTCAGGATGGCGTTGGCGATGGGCAGCATCATGGCAGTGGAGGCAGTGTTGCTCAGCCACATGGACAGGAACGAGGTGGTCACCATCATCCCCAGGATGAGCCTGGGCGACAGACGAAGTCAGTGGCAGACCCAGAACCCAGGACCAGAGGACAGCTGCCCAAGCGCCCAGCTTACAGGGGAACCCTCTACCAGCTGAGGATAAGTATGTACGTGAGCGTGAGGGAATGATGAGTTTCTGGGCCTGGATGACTGAGCTAGGAAGCGTGGGTTTGGGCTCCACGAGGTGTGGTCCCTCTGCTCCCCCACTGCAGGGCCAGATCTGTTACCTGGCCTTACCTGGCTGGCTGGACCCCCACAAGCATCAGGATTTTGAGGGCGATTCTGCGGTGCAGGTTCCACTCCTCGATGGCGCTGGCCATGATCAGCCCGCTGAGAAAGAGGAAGTTGGTGTCGAGGAAGTACTGGGGGCAGACCTTGCTGGAAGGCAGGATGCCCAGGAAGGGGAAGAGGATGATGGGCAGCAGGGCTGTCACTGAGAGGGGCAGGGCCTCTGTGCACCAGTACACCGCCATGAGCAGGATGACAAACAGGCAGCGGCCTTCCTGTGGGGGAGATGTAGACTCAGAGGACACAGGCAGGGAGGAAGCCCTGGGAAGGGCCTGGCAATGCGCAATGCATGCTCCTTGGAGAGGCAGTGGCATACATGTGTGCTTGGGGCTGTGACCTTGCGCAGGTGGTGTCACCTTTCTGAGTCCCACTTTGCTCACCTATAAAATGAGAAAGCTAGGGACCAGCAGATGGCATAGAGTTACATCACTGGACTCCCACGTAGTTGACCGCGGTTCAAGTCCCAGACCCAGAGGCTTAAAAAACTCATGCCAGGCATGCGTGCATGCATGCCCATGATTCCAAGAGGAGAATGGAGAAGGGATTCCTGCATGGCCATCCACTCTAGGGGATGATCTCACGCTTTCTGTCTCTCTCTGTTACTCTGGCAAATGCACACATCCTATAGCAAAAATCTCTCTTTAAAAAAATTTTAAAAATAAAAGCTATTTCTGTCCACCTCGTAGGACTGTTTGAGAATGAAAAGAAATATTCCATTGTCTTAGAAGTAAACCATGACATGAGGATGAGAATGAAAAATAGTTTACTTAATAGGGGATTCCAGAAAGTTCTTGATGGCAGAGAAGGCAGCCAATACAGAGTGTGCTCGTGAGAAGGTTACCATTGTGAGCACCTGAATGAAGCTCAGTGGTGATGGGGAGCCCTGGGAGACAATATAAAACATGTCCTGCCTGGGAAGCAAATGAGCTGGGATAGTGATCTGCCAATGCCTGCCTTCCTTGATTGAGGGTTGCTCCTGAAAACGCTGCTGATCTCCCCACAAACAGGCTGCACATGCTCCTGTAGCCAGAAAAAAACTCCCACAGAGCCCCTGAGGTGCAGAAAGAAGCTATTGGCATGTGTGGAAAGGGTGAGCATCAAGGGGGTGTGTAGGGAGCACCAGCAGGACCGGCCACATCAATACTGGGCACTTGGCACAATACCCAGCATAGTGCACAGTCTCTGAATAGTACCAGCAACCAACATGTATCAGGCTCTTAGTTGCCAAGTGCTATTTATTCCTCACAAAAATCCCAGGGAAGTAGGTAGAATCGTTATGTCTGTTTTATGGATCCAGACATGAAGTACACAGAGGTCACTAGCCAGGCCCTGGCCGAGCAGACCAAGGCATCCTCTGTCCACCCGTGCTCTTAATCACTGCTGTGAATAGCTGGATACTGGAACCAATGACAACGCAAACTATATTCAAAGAAAAAATTGATCAGTGGTTTCCAGGGCTGGGGTGGGAGGTGTATGTGATGGGAGGAATGGGAGTTGCAAAGAAGCATGTAGGAAATTTTAGGGTGATGGCAATGTTCTAGACCTAGGTGAGGTATTGGTCATATAAGTGTAAATATTTGTCAAAATCTGTCAAACCACAGAATAAGAAAGCAATCATGCCCTTCATTTCTGGTACCTCTGTATCCCACGGGGCCCATAATGAATTGCGTTTGGTTATTTGCATGGTCACTGTTTGAATAAAACTGCATGCTTCTCTGCCCTGTTCTCTTGGGCTCTTTCAAGGCAATGATCTTCTATGTTCCAGGAAACATGGATTGGGGCTGTCTGGTGCTAGTCTATGCTTTCTACTTCCTGGTAAGTTGTGTTGACTTTATTCTGTGTCCACGGGACTTTGAATGAAGCGCTGTCCTAACAAGTGACATTCTAGCAGAACACACTCTCAGCTCAATGGGATGGGTATCACGTTATGTGGGAAACACAATGATTGGTGTCTCCGTCTTACAGGGGAACCAGGGCAGGACTAGCGGGACCCATGAGAAAGCGCTGACACTAACCAAGCAAGACACCGGCTGCTAGGTTTGGTGGGGCAGCGGAGGTAGGGAGAAGGGGCTGGGTTCTTGATCTATCCCAAGGGATAGCCCGGCAGCTTTGCTGGTGGATCTGTTGTGATGTGGAAGGTCAAGAGGGAAGCCAAGGGCAATTCTAAAGTTGGCTCAGCAGTGGGAAGATGGGCTTGTCACTTACTGAGACAGGAAAGACTGAGGCTCAACCACATTCATTTCCATTCCTCAAAAAACACTTGCTGAGTCTCTATTAAACGTGCCCTGCATTGGAGAACTTCCAGATTCCCAAGTCCCTTAGCTTTTGTGCCAATGCTCACACTCACTCATGAAATTTACAGATGTACAAAAAATTCTCTTCTGCAGAGAGAATTTCTATACTGCAAATCCTATATTCCTATTGCCCTCAGATACATTCTTCTGGAGGAAACGAAATAAAACAGACCCTTAGGGTTAATACAGAGGTAGCCTTCAAAATATCTTAAAATAACATGTTGAGAAGAACAATGATAAAACAAAAGAACTCATCTTGGGATGAAAGCTCTAGAACCCAGGTTACTGAGCACACACGTTAAAGATCAAAAGCAAAAGCAGTACTATGACATCAAAGTCCATGGCAAAAAAAAAAAAAAAAATCCCTCCATTCTATTTCTCATTAATCTATCAGTTTCCTAACCCAGTAGATTCTTACCCCTCATGGGTGAGATATCTTAGAGAATCACAGTGCCCACAGTCTCTAAATATTTATACCCCCCTGACCCTTTGTTCAAGCAAAATAGTGTATTAGGAGGTGGAGGGGTCCAACAGTAAAATGCAAAGCTCTGTGAGGCTGATCCATATGAGAAGGTTCCCAGCTCGGGTCTGGAGACCTCCCTGAGTACCTGAGCACATCTGCCCATGAAGAGGGGCTGGTCGAAGCTCAGGGGAGATAATAGCATCAAGGCCCTGTTGGGCATCTCTCTCTCTCTTTCTCTGTCTCTGTCTCTCTTTTCCTCTCTCTGTGTCTCTCTGGGTCATGGAAATAAATTTAAAAAATAAACAAATAACTTCTTAAATTGTATATCAAATCACAATGTACAAAACAAACCCCAAAAGCAGAAATCAGAGTGAAAGGAGCTTCTCTGGGAGAAGAGGAATGAGGCACTGTCCACAAGGCTCCTCTTCTCCCCCTCCCTTCTGCTCACCCCAGAAGCCCCTCAGACCTCCCTGATACTGGAATTCAATGGTAGACAATCACCAACCCACTTGCATTTTCCTTGCTTTACCAACGTGGGAACTGGAACCAGAAGAGGAAAGGGTGAGGCTGCAGCTGTTTCTAGAACCTGAAATCCCCCCAGGCAGCTGAGACTCTGCACGAGGCTCTTTGTGGAAAAACTCTTAGCTTTGCTGGGTCCTTGTGCCCAAGGGCATCATTATAGGGGTCCACAGAGGTAAACTGAGGGCAGGCTGGTCCCAGGTCTTGCCAGGACAGTGAAGATGTGGGAAAGGAGCAGCACAGTACACAACACCCTGTTTTCAGAAGCTCCTGGAGTTCTGACATTCAGTTAGAGAAGCGTTCAGAACCACTTGGGGAGCCAAAACTTCAGATGACAAAAAGGCAAGTTTAGCCAAGGCCAACTCAGCCTTTTTAGGCCTGGGAACCCTAAAATATCAGAGGGACCCAAACATCAGCTAGAGACGATCAGCTTCCGCAGTTTAACGGCGAAGAGCTTTCCTGAAGACTCACAGCTTCAGGGAGATGGAGCCATCTCTCCATCCGGAATCATGGCTCCCGATACAGAGGTGGGACATTCCCTGTCCCCACCCCCATCTGCTGCTTTATTTTTCTTCATAGGTACCATTGATTTGAGCCCTCTTGATTTTCTTCTCCATAAGGATGCAAGCTCTAGGAGGGCTAGGATTGTGTTCCCGGGGCCAGGAACAGTGCCTGGGACACAGTGGGCTCTCAAAATATTTGGTGAATGCTAATATACACTTGGACCACTCGGAAATTAGGAAAAATGCTGAACACAGGCTAACTATCATCCACGCATCTATCCATTCAGCAAATCTTACTTCTGACCACATGCTAAGTTCCAAGCTGAGAGTTGAAGCAAGGAAGGACTAAGATACTGAACCTGAATTTGAGTAACAATCTGACCATGCCAATTATGAAATGATTTATGGCCAGTGCTTCTCGAACTCAAATGACCTTCCCAGATTCTGTCCACCAAATAATCCCCAAACAGAGGTGTGCTGGTAAATGTTTAACGACTGAAAAAAAAAACGTGTGTGTGTGTGTGTGTGTGTGTGTGTGTGTGTGTGTTACTATCTGTATTTAACAGCTAACAGTCTGTATTTTTGCTAATTGGCTAGCAAAATTTCTGATAATTTGACAACCAGATTTCACAAGTCAGCACAAATTGGATATTGCAGGTCCCCAAGCAGGAGAACATGGCTACTGCAGGTCACCAAATAGAACATCCATGTATACTCCTTCCACTCGCTCTCCAAGGAACCTGCTGCAAACATGGCATTCTTTAATCCAGGCTTAGTACGCTTCACAATTAATTCATGATTTTAAACTCAATTACTGTCTGTTCAGCTTTCCTGCTGGTCCAAGGAGACATGTCACGTGTATGCACGTGACAGATCTCCAGGTATCTTAATTTGGAAAATATGATTTTAAAAATTCATAATCTCAAGTGCCCATGGGGAACCAGAAGTACTGTAAGTGAGCTCTTGAGCCCCCTCAAATAATCCTTCATCTTCGCACTTTGAAAAAGACAGAAGCATAAGACATTCCACTTTCATCTGTCACTATTTAGTCTGGACTGTAGACCATGGGAGAGTCCTCCACCAGGCAGTTGAGGCTTGGGGTGGGTCACCTGCTCATCTGCTCCCACTGCTCAAGGAAGCAGAGACCATGCACCCCCGAGAGAGACAAGGGCTGACACAGAGCCATGTGGGAGCCCAGGAGAAAGGGAGCTGAGGTGGCCAGTGGGTTCTGAGAAGGGTGACCCCTTGGCACCTCCTTGCTATGGTCTGAATGTTTGTGTCCTTCCAAAATTCATATGTTGAGGACTGGTCCTATAGCACAGTGGTTAAGAGAGCTGGATCCCACATGACCAAATGCGGTTCAAATCCCAGTCCCAGCAGCTTGAAAAATATGCTGAGCGTGTATGTACCCGAAATCCTGATGGGAAGGAGGGATG